CCCCCCCCCCCCCCAAAAAAAAAAAATAAAAATAAAAAATAAAAAAATAAAAAAAATCAGACTACTAAGGGGAAATTAGTGCTTGGGGATATACTGAAAAATAGACTAAACATAATAGGCTTCATGTGCAATAAAAGGAAATTCAACAAATTAGAATATTAATTCATCTAGGAATACAAGAAAGGAAATCTGTGAAATCAGTATCTCAAACAAGAACAAGAATAAAAGAAAAACACATCTAGGAGACCAAGAAAGGAAAACTATTAATGAGAAAATCAATCTAATAAGAAGTCCAAGAAGAAATAAAAAGAGAGACTCGTATAGGACTCCAAAAAAAAAAAATTTAAATCAATTTAACGATGGGCTTTCAAGGATAAAATAAAAGTAATTTCCAGAAAACCAAGGGTTGGCGTTGTTCCAATGAAACTCCTGACTATGTTTACGACTAACCCAAGTTTCGGCAAAAAACAAATCGCAAAAAATTTCCGAAGTCCCTCAATAACCCCAAAAACTTTTTAACTTTTCACAAAACCCCCTCAAAACGCTCTTCGCAATTGGACGGACTTATATCTGGCTCAATTCCGTTCTTTCCGATTGTTTTCTCTGAGCACATTTCTCTACTTCACCTTCTTCATTGTTCTCATTTGGGCGGTGTGGTGAGGTTGTTTCTTTTGTTGGGGGGGGGGGGGGGGGGGGGGGGGGTGTTGTGAAATTTAGCCTAAAATAAATATAAATGAAATAAGTCCAATATAGAACAATAGAAAATGAATAATGAGATTATAATTACAAGAAAACCAGTCATCTTAGAGTACAAATTTAACTATAATTTTGAGAAAAGAAATAGCTAAATATTAGAATAAGTGAACAAAAATATCTCAAAAAACTATAGCAATCTGGAGGGGGCAAGGGGAAGAAGGGGGGAAAGCAAGAGGATCTATCAATATTAAAAGATGGAGGGGGAGGAAGGAACTTTCCATATTATTGAGACTGCTCTGGCATAGATTAAACTACACGTAAAGATAATTCTACCATATATTAAAAATCCAAAATTATAATCCATTGGCTCCTCACTAACTTACACTAAATATTTAATTCTCATCACTTTTCCAAAAAGTATATCTAGCTACTATTATAGTCAGATTTTGACAAATAGCACTTTGAAAAGATAGATATGATGTTACCTTAAATTATTTACGTAAAAATATATAATATAGGGTCTATGTTTCAGAGAGTGCTAGGTGCCGACCCAGTGCCTAGCACCTAAGGAAAACCAAGACGGATTTCTTTTTCCTTTTTTTTTTGTTTAACTGGAAGTTGGAGGAGTTTTTGCTGAAGGTTGGAGGAGCCGAGGAGGTGGTAAAGGTGATTGGAGTCGGTGGAGGAAGCTAGGGAGGTTGGACAGATAGCACTTTGAAGAGATAGATATGAGGTTTACCTTAAATAAATTATTTAAGTAACATTATACAACACATGCTCAATATTACAGAAAGTGCTAGGTGCTTGATTATGCCTATATGGCATTATTCAACGCTACAACGAGACCCGCCTCGCCGGTAAAGGCCCGGGCGGCTCGCGCGGGCGCCCCGGCCACCGTTTTTTGTGTTTAATTGACTGGAGCTTTTTGCTGAAGGTTGGAGGTGATGGAGGTGTTCGGAGTCAGTGGAGCAAGCTAGGGAGGTTGAAGGACGTAGAGGCGGCAACAAAGAAAATCAAACGAAGACCTAAGCTTCGTAGTTTGCATAACAACTTATGCTCCCCTAGCCGCTCCCAAGACTTATATGGACGGGCCTTAGGTAGCCTAGTCCTAGGCAAGTGCCTAGACCGCTTTTTAAAACCGGCTGAATTAATTTAGACTTGCAGTCTAAATTAGAAGAAAACTTGTCAAAATTAGAATGCCAATTTCATTAAAATATTGACTAGCAAAAGCTTATTTTTTAGATAAAGCAATATATAACTACCACTATAAGTAAAAAAAGGCATTTCATAGCCATTTTTGGAAACTCGTTAGACATGGTTTAGGTTTGTTTCAGCCTATGCCCAAGTTCAAAACTATAATTTAAAAGGGTTGTTTGTCTAGTTAAAAAAGAGCAGCTTGCCATTTTTATCCACATAATTAAAAAAAGGGAAAAATACTTTGAGCCCCCAAAATAAAAAAGGGGATGTGTGCCACCCCCAAGACCAAGTCAACGTGCTCTTTAGTCCTTAAATTGAGTTTTCAATGTGTTTAACCCCCAAGATGTGCTGCCACCTAAGCAATGACTCCACTTGCTTTTTTTCTCCCATTATTCTTTGGTTGGGTGACTATCAATCTATTTATCCCGCTAATATCCCACTTCTCCTATTTCGTCTCCCTCGCGGCCCCCCCCCCCATCCCTCCTTGTCTCTCTCCCTTAAATTCAGAACCATTACATAGCCATCATCAAGGGTAAAAATTTTCAACCCCAGCTATTGAGCCGTCCCCATACGACGGTAGATGAAGGCAAATCTGAGATTGAGTTTGAGGTTTGATATCTGTGGCAACAAGCTCATCCACGTAAATGAAGATAAAAGCTTAATTACGGGGATTAAGGCTTGGAAGACAGCCACTATGATTGAAATTGGAGAATTTTTAGGGTTCTATTTTGGGGTGAGAAAATTTAAAACAAATTGGTTGGAAATAGATGAGGCAATGGAGACCTAGGATGCTTAGGGTTACTTTGATGGCTATTGGATTTAATCCTTTATTCAAAGAAAGAAATTTTTATATAGAAACATTGAAGAAACTTACATGTGCTCTCATATATATATTTATCACTTCTATAATTGGTAACGTTTTGCATTGGTTGTTTAAAAGTATGATTGTTAATGTTATGAGTTAATTGTCAAAATTTAAGATTAGTTGTTGAACCTAAGAATTAGTTGTTAGATTTAAATATTGGTTGTTAATATTCTCTGTTAATTGTTAAAACTTAAGGATTGACTATTAAACTTAATAGTTCATTGTTAGATTGGTTATTAATATTCTCCGCTAATTGTTAAAACTTAAGGATTGACTGTTAAACTTAATAGTTTTCGTTAGATTTAGATATTGGTTGTTAGTATTGTCTATCAATTGTTAAATTTAAGGATTGATTGTTAAACTTATAACTTAAATGTTAGATTTAAATATTATTTGTTAAGCTTAAGAGTCAATTGTTAAAGTTAAAGATTTACATCATATATTGCAGAGAAAATATTACATGATAACAAAATAAAATATCGTTAAGTATCAATGCTAAACATAAATAGCGAATATTTTACAAAAAAATATTAACAAAAAATTGATAAACTTAATCTACAAGATATAAAAATAACGACTAGCTATTAATCTTAACAACTAACTATTAAACTTAAGAGTTAACTATTAATCTTAACTAACTGTTAAATTGAATAAGTAATAACTAACTATTAAGCTTAACAACTAAATGTAAAACTAAACAAGTAACTACTTAAGCTTAACAACTAACTACAAAAAGATTTAGAAATTGCATATAATCCCTTGAAAGTTTCAAAAATTGCAAATAACCTGCAAAAAATTACAGAAAATCCCCCAAAAAGTTTTAGAAATTGCAAATAACCTAACAAAAATCTGTA